TATGAGGGACTTTTGAGAAACTTAACTCTTAACGAATGAATCCCGATGCAATATCAGGCCTTTTCCTCAACTTTTATTGGGTCGAGTCGCTAGCAGTTAGAATAAAATAGCCGTTCTAAATTGATGCACTTTGAGAACAATTGTGAAGCTACATCATTTGCGCTTATGAACCGAATAGCAGAAGGCGCAACCGGAAGGATGTACACGAAATTACACAGGGAAAGTTAGAACCCTCGTTTAGCCACAACCGATGATTCTTCGAAAATTATTAACTAGCATAGTCTTGTCCACTGAAAACAGAAACCTGGCCAGTTCACCCATTTTGATTTGATGAGTTGAAGAGAAAACCTTGGTTTGTCTTGAAATACTTTAGCTCGAAAGATCGTCGTCGATCAGGCTCGAATGCCGTTTCGACCTCACTGCAACTTCATCAACATGCAGTGGGATTCGATCCGTGAATGTTCTATGTTTGTTCGGCCTAAATACTAATTAATTTGTCTGTCAAACGGCACATCCGCTGCCCGGCTTCTGCTAAGGGGTCAATAGGCTCTGGGGATAACTAAATTTAGTCCCACCTAGAAGATGATGACACCTTGTGGCGCAATAAGATATCATGCCTCTTCTTTTACACAACGAGAATAAAGTGCATTTTGTCAAGCCCATCACTACCTAACAAAGGTAAGTCTTGTCACTGTAAACGTAATACTATTTTATGTGTAAAAAAATTTGTGAAAGCCCTTCTTGGTATGCACAATTACGTAGTTTGGTGTTTTACGAATTGTTTAAGCCAGAGTTCCGTCAGGATGATAAGGTTTTTGGGATACAAAACTGCATGATAATGGATGGCAAATTCAGGCCTTCACTTAAATTCATTATTTGCAGCAGTTTTGCATGGTACTAACATCATGGATAATTTTGTATGATCCAAAAGTCAAGGTTATCGAACAATTTTCCCTCGAATAAATAGCTGATATCATTTTCTAGATAAAAAATGAATTGCAATTTCATTTTAATTCATTTAAATTACTCCAACTTATGCACTCTAAGCTTGTCTTTAGCCCTAATCTGAGCTCCTTTTGCATCTCTACCCTCTATCCTTCCTCAATCATAGACCATGTTGAAATCCTCCTGGAGAACGTTGTTGAGGGTCAGGACTTCAACTTCAAGAAAATGGATCCAAATGAAGTCAACTCGCTAGGTGAACCCTATGATTATAGCTCAATCATGCACTATGCCAAGGGAACTTTTGCTTCTCCAAACAAGGATGAAACAATTCGTCCGAAAGCATGTTGTCCCCGGCCACCGATTGGACAACGGATTCAGCTGAGTACAGGCGATATTCGCCAGACGAATAAACTGTACAACTGCCCGCGTAAGTATTCGAGTCGAGGAGAAAAATTGCTATCTAGTTAGTTTCTTGCTTGTCATGGTTACTTGCATTTTATGTGAAGTGCCTGATGAAGGTATTCTTAGGTTGAGCCTACAAAATCACATTCATTCCCTTCCCAGAATCATTTAATCTTGCTGATCCTAAACTGAAGCTACTTATGGCTGAAATTACTTAGAATTGTAACTAGATATTTCTCATTATGACTTATCCATGTACAAACATTCATGCACTTGCACGCACTCAAACATACGAAGACTAACTGTGCTTCGATGAATCTCTTGAGACTGCAATGTTATAGAGCCTCTCATTTCGTATGAAAGCGCATGACGAAGAGATCCAAAGATCAATCTAACAGGAAGACGACGACTGATTCTCGTTGATTTACGGCTGTTTGACTTTTCGAATACGTTCAGGATTAAGCAGCTCACGATACATCCTCCCTCGTTTCGAGTGAAGACGGGCTGAACTTTGGTCCGTTATGCCTCATTACGGACATCGTCAGAGCTGGAACACATTGTTATAAGAGCCTCAAGTTAACGCCAAGTCAAGCAGACTATCTGGTCCTATCCTACACGCTATATAGTTTCAGAACTAGAAAGCAAATCTATAGCTATAGATGAATATAAAATTATCTGATCACTTGTCCTTCACATTAATCAGGATACTTATATTTTAATGTGTGTGCTAACGTCTGTACGCATGTAAATCAGAGTATACGAGAGCCAGCAGTAACTCAAATTAATTACAAAAGGGCCTAATGTCATCCCTGGGCCATCAAGGTTTAGTGGCACACGGAAAAGTTCGATCGAAATTGCGCATACCCGAAAGTAATTATAATTAAGATAACTTCAGAACAGCCGTAACCTACCATCGCCTCACGGGGTGATAAACTAACGCATATTTTCGTCACACTAATGTGAGCCAGATTATTGATGGCCTAGATATTATGCTTTGGAAAAATCAAGTTGGTATGGCGGATCAGATACCCTTCTGTAGTAAGAATTTAATAAGTTTCTCAACATAGGGCCTGATACCCAAAAGTGCAACAATCAACTATAACTAAGCGTTCCGGAATGTGTGAATTTCCAGCCCTGAGCTCTCAGTTAATTTTGCATTATAGCTGAATTTTTTCTGAGCCCTGCTCCAAAGAAAAGTCTTCCTTTTTTATTTTTTGCTTATAAATAAGTTGTAAAGACTACTTGTAGATCATATATATGAAATGTATTCACCCTATTTCGTTAAGATGATGAAGGATTGGTAGTTGAATTTTTCCATAATGAATTCAGTAAGTCTAAGGTTTCCATTAAATTTAACATCGAGTTCCTTCCCAAAAGGATTATACGCTGCATTTTCACAGTTCCAGTGCCGCTGGAACTACTGATGAGGCCTCCATGAGGTCTAAACTGCAGTTCGTTTTAGCCAACATTAGAATACCTTTTGATAGGCAAGGCTTTGTGAAATTAAATGGAAACGCAAGGTCTACTCATAGCATTGTGACAAAATTAAACTGTCAGACTTCCTATCACCTTAAACAAAATAAGGTGAATATATCTAATATATATGATCCACTGCTAGTCTCGAAAACCTAATTATAAAAGAATAATAAATAATGCTATTGATTGCTATATCAAATACGGCATTACTTCATCAATAATCCCACCACAGAAAGTGATATGTGAAAATGTCTGACCCTTTATCATATTCACATCTGTACTGTCACATAAGGGCTCTTGTGGCAATATGGCGTATTAAGTATCGTGTCGATATTATACGGCATGGTTCGAGTCCTGCTGGGTATGTTGAAGAGACCTGGGCAAGGTCGAAATTGCAGTCTAATCTAGCATGAATGCGAAAAACATTTACTGAGCGAGATCGTATGGAATTCAGTGGAAACTTCTAGTGCTTCTTTATTGAAAAAAGGCTGAATGCATCCTTGGTAGTCTCAAAAACCTGCCTATATTCGAAAAATAATAATTTTGAGATGAATATTCATAGAAATCCCTTGGTGTCCATAATTAGCTTTTGTTTAAATATAAAAGAAGTAGATACCTCGGTTTATCTATTATTACCACTTCGGAATGTAGCCACAGGTGTCAGTTATAATTCAAGATCTGCTAATATTTTTGAAACCTCATTCTATTTAATAATGACCTCAGTTACAATGAAAAATACAACTTTGCCTTATCTATACCAATCCCATAATAAATGTGAAATAGGTAAGGTTTGACGGGCCTTGAAGTCTTATCTGACCTTTTACTCAATGACCTTCATTGTGAAGTGGCGGAGTTTTTAATTTTATCTTCTGAAGTGTCGAAATTGTAGTCGGGCCTGGACAAACTGCCTTTAGAGACGCATGGCTGTGAGTTTGCTTATTGCCGCTCTAGAACTTCAATCTGCTGGAATGTTGCCATTCCTAGCAGAACTAATTCCAATTTATTTAATTATGGAATGAAGATTGGCCAAATTCTTTATCCTAAATGACGTCACAAATGTAGCTTATAAGGTCTCTTCTTCAGCTTCCTATAAAAAATGTTATTCGATTAAAAATACTCCGAAGATCTATCTATTAAATCCCAATTGGAATGGCTCAGTCCAATATATCCTTTCTTCTCCTTACAGTACATCAACTTCGCAATTCATATCATCCATGCCCAACATTGTAATGAATTAACTCACTTTTTAATCAAATGGCGTGAAACTCCACATAAGTAAGAGTTCAAAGAGCTTCACATTAAAATTAATGTGATAAACATTTTGGTTTATATTTTATCGTCAACCTTATACGCTTCCTAGTCTGTCTCTTAATCATTGACAGACAACGG